TATATTATTAAAAAAATTATGTCATTTAAAAATTAAGAAAATAATTATAATAAAATATATATATGAAAAACTTACCTTTATAAATCGAAGTATTAACATTTGTAGTTGTTGAAAATACATGTGCTGAGTTAGTACCCAAATTGATATTTTTTGTATTATCTAAATAAAAACTATTTAGTTTTCTAGTCTTTTTAGAAGGAAACAAATGCATCAGATGGCTGCAACAATTGAAAAATAAATAAAATTAGTATAGTCCTTAATATGCTTAAGAGATAAGAATTAAGTATTGACATAACATTTATCAACTAAATAAAATTAGTATATAAGTATGTATAAGAATTAAGGACACTGTCTTAAATGTAGTGAATTCCAAGTATGTGTCAGTATTTTTTTTCAAATTTTTTACATTTAAAAATAATATAAAATCAATATTTGATATTTGTTTATACTGTGTAATTGTGAGTATAATTAAAAATATTAAAGTTAATAATTTATTACTTTTAATGATAAATACACTTTATGAAATGTGAATCGTATTTTGGCCTTACAACCTCGGGAGAAATCGAAGAGATAAGAAGAGGAGAATGAACCCTAACCCTAAACATGATTTCAGCACAAACACAGAAATCAAAGAGGAAGGAATCACATTTCAGTGATTAATCAGAAGATATTTCATGGGTGTTTCAAAGATAGGAATCCTTACATGTTTGAAGTCGAATTGGAGTTATGTATCGATCAACCAGAGATAAATATGGGATAGTGTTATGTATCTCTCTTCGGTCACAGTGTGTTACCATCTGTTTTTCTCAGTTCCCAATCTCTACCCAACTCTCCTTGTAACCCTAGGTCGGACTCCCTTTCTCGCTTACTATTTCCATTTATCTCTCTCCATGTTTCCATTACCTGGTGTTTATTGAATCATATTACAATTCTCGACATCCAATTTCTTTATTAGGTGCATAATAATTTTACGATTAAACGGTTATAGCATTACTACTTTTCTCATTTTTGCTCGATTCTAAACACTAACATAAACCCTAAACTACACCAAACCGATATCCATACTCATACGCCTCTCTTCCTCTTTCTCCCATCATGTTGATTTTTATTTTATTTTTTCTACTGATATGATTCTGATTTTATGTATTATGTTTGACAGATGTCTGTTGTGTTGTTTTCAGGTAGAAAAAGAATAGGATGTTGAGCTTATTGGTGATTAATTGGAATTTGTTGCCATAATTTATGTATTATGTTTGACAGATTTTATGTATTATATTTGGTATTTGCTGCCATAATTTGTTTGTTTGTTTGTTTTTTTTAATTATTTCTATAACCTACATCATCAATTTCATTATGATCGTACCATTGCTTTAACTTTTATTAACCAAATCTTGATTGAAATGCTATGAGAGAGATAATGTAAAAGTGATTGTTTTAACAGGTAAATCATTTGATATTTATGAAGAAATTAGGAGCTTAATCAACTTCAATTCACTTCTGGTGTGTTTGTTGGGGGTAGTTCCAAGACGTGGCAAAACTAAAATAGTTGATAGTGAGCTCTTTAAGATGCCTGGTGTTGAGCATGGATGTGTTTGACCCTTCAAAGTAGCGGTATAATTTAATTTTTTCACTATTTATTTCATAGTAAATGGAAAAAACATAATACTATACTTTTGATGATATTTTTGTTCATCACTATCTCATTAAAATATAGAGTAGGTGGCTTATATATAGATTTTTTTTTTTAAAATTTATAAAAGTGTTGTAAAATTTCTGCTTGCATTTCTAAGTAAAATACATAATATCACAAGGGTATTTTCGTCATAATTTTGGATAATGGGTAAAAGGGTTCTTTTTTCTGTTTGATGAATCAAGTGGAAATAGGAGGAACGGTTAAAAATCTTAAGTGAGAGCCATTGAAGGAAAATTTTCAAAAGTAGGATGATAATATGGATAGATATTGAAAGTACAATAGTTTGAAACATAAGTAATACAAAAAAATTATTGTATTTGTCAGGAAAATCATGAAAAAAATGATCCTTTAATAAAATGTTACATAAATGGACATTGTTATCATATTTTATTAGAAAAATGGTCCTTGTGGCTTTAAAAGTTACAATACCAGTCCCTGTGGTAGAAAAAAAATGACATGAGTGGTCCTTGTTGTTAATAAATTTTGTAGTTTAGTAAAAAAAAAACTTTATTATAAACGAAAGTGTAATTTATTTCTAAAGTTTATTGATATTAAAAGTACATTTTATTAAGTAGGAGGATATTATGGGTATATTAAAAAAACTTTATTATTGGTCGAATAAAAAAACTAAAAATTAGTTTCAAAACATTAACCTGATATGTGAATATGTAATTGTTGCAGGACTTAAGAGGGCACAGGATTGAAAAGCAGTTGGCATTTCAAATGAATAGATGAATAGAACTTGTATGAAGCAGATTGAGGTAAGAAAGTTGAAAGAGGCTTTCACAGATGCAATTGAAACAGGAAGAAGACGAATGAGTAATTTCAAAACGTTGGATTTCACGTATTAAGGTATATTTATAGATATAAAATTAATCTTTGAATATCTTCGCAATATAATCACTGATTTTATGAATTTATTGTTATTGAAATTGTATATGATATTTTTGTGTTCATGATTTTATGGGATTTAGTAGATTATATATCAATTTAAATTAAAGATATGATTTGCATTTAATAATGGATTGCAGAAAATTAGGAAAAAATTAGTTAAATTGATGAAATTAATTGAGTAGCTATTATATTGATATCTTTGACTTACAAATTAAGATTTTGAACTTCCTGATTTTTTGGTTTTTAAATGCAGAGAATGAGTTTAAATTGGAAAACATATCACGTTCATGATTTTGCTCGGATGAGCATTTAATGGAGGTAATGACATCCTTTTTGCCTAATGTCGGCTTTAGTAGTTAATTAAATTTTATGTTTAATAAATAACATTAATAAAAATGTTATTGTCCAAGTTTTAATCTACAAATATTTTCAAAATTAAAGATCCTCATGCTTAAGAAAAACATTATTAATAATTTGAAATCGTAATAACTAATCAAAAATTTGGAAAAAAAAGTTTTAATTTAAACTAATATAAGTTATATTAGTAAATTTGTAATTTTGGTTTAAATAAATATATAAATCGTTATGAGAAAATAATTTATGTTTTGTAAATTCAATTATTTGTAATCATGACCTTGTATGATGCAATATACATTAGAGTATAATGAAAAGAATACAATAAATCATGAAAGTGGCATTAATATATTATAAATTAAACATGAAAGTGATGAACTATATAATGGCAACTTGTATATTGTTATTGAATGTTGAATGAACAATGTAATACAAAACTGATATACTAAAAGAATATACATCAACTGATGAAAAGAATAGTACCAAATACTCTGAAAAAACTTACCTGACATGTGATTCTGGATGTTTTGCAGGATTAACAGGAAGAAGAATTCAATGGTAGTTGATGTGTGAACGAAATAGATGAATAAAAAGTTTACGAAGTAGATTGAAGTAAGAAAAGCGATTTATTAACTGCAGATGCTTTTGAAAGACAAAGAAGACAGGATCTGTAAATTAAAGAAGATGTATATTACGTATAGAGGTATATTTATATATAGTTATACATATAAATGTTATTATTTTAATATTATGAGATTATAACTCCGGATTTTATGCATATATTGTTATTAAAATTGGATTGGATATATTTTTGTACCTGATCTTATGGGATTTAATAGACTCTGGATCAATTCTTAATAAATATACGATTTGCAGTTAAGAAGAGATTACATATAAACAATGAAATATGTTATATGGACGAAATTAAAAAATTATTTATGGTATTGATATATTTGACTTGAACATGCGGTGTATAGTTTATCTTATTAAAAGATTTTTGCATATTTTCTGAAAATCATAATATTCATTCTAATTTTATTAATGAATCTTTATCTTTATTCTTTATGTTACATACTTGTCGGGATTGTATGTATCAATTACATGAAAGGACTTGAAGTTGGAGATGAAGAAAAGAAGCGGGAAAAAACAAATTTGGGGGTCTGACAGATTGACACGTGGAAGTCTGGTACTTATTTTCTTCAGCTGCGATAATAATATGGAGGTAATGCCATCTGGTTTGCATATATATTTTTTTAGATTTTAGAATTATAATAAATTTAATAATACTTGGGATGGTCATTTTTTCTCAAAATATTAATCTATTAACATTAATAAAAGTTATCAATTGTTAGATAATCTAGAAATGTAGAAACAATATGTTAATTTTGAAATGCTAATAATATCGTAATAACCTTATTATCTTTTGTTAGATAATCTGATTACTTGACTTTCACATTAAAAGTAAAACAGTAAGTATAAATTATAATAGGAGATTATAACTTTAAAAAATAAGGCAGTGAAACGATTAGCAAAAAAAGGACAAGCAATAATTCATTAAACTGTTTATATAGAAAGACATTGAGTCTGATATTTAATCAACATAGTTATAATAATATGTCATTGAAATCATCCAAAAAAAGAAAAACATAAATTTATTAATTTTAAAGAACAATTATCTTTAAATTTGTCCCATAAAAAAGTGTTTGTATAAAATGGATTTAAAGAATATGTAACATAGAAGAACATATACAACATAGGTGAACATGTACAATTTGTTACAATAAACCGGTTACATAAAAAGACATTGAGCATGACATTTAATCAACATAGGTATAATAATATGTCTTTGAAATCATCCAAAAAAATACATTCAAATGATGATAGTAGTAATCAAAAAAAGGAAACCAAAATGAAATAAATGTAAATGAACCATTGTCAAGAAATTTGTCCCATAAAAAACTTATTTTAACCAATCATTGTACCAAATAAGTAAACAACTTTTAACAGCAAAGAAAACCATCTCAAAAATTCTAATTTCTTCCTGAAAACATAAAAGAACTCACTTTTCCAATTTAGGAACTAAAAGTGTATTTCCCTCTCCAATTGAATTTCTTTTAGTTTTTGTGGAACTCATATCACCTCCACAATCAACGTCATAAATGTCATGGAGGTTGCGCTTCAAATCAGTTGATATTTTCAGCGGACTGGTTGTAGATGATTTATCAACTGTTGATGGAGTAAAACTCTCATCTGTCTGTGATATGACATCCTAAATTTAAAAAAACATAAACTTTCATATGGAATATATAAATATTAATGAAAGTTAATATGGGAATATAAAATACCTTTTGAACATTCTCAACAACATCATCTGATTCGAGGGGTACTTCATTTAAGGACACTGATTGAGTAGTCTAGAAAATAAAATGGACATATACAAAACGTTATGTATATAAATAAAAAAACATATATAAAGGGTGATCATTAAAAAGTTATGTACCAAAATTTCTAATTTACTTTCCAAATTGGAAACAATATCCACATCCTCTGTAAGTTTGACAACGCTGTAGATATTATTATAGTTGCTGACGTTGTAGGATGTAATTTCTACAAGAAACGCAAATTTGCGGTTTTTCAATACGTTCATCTGGTTTGGAAAAAGTTGCATACTGTCTCCAGCCTGTAAGAAGTAGTTTAATATATTAAAACCAAAAAATGGTATTTGATAAAAAAAAATATATACGGTTTCAAGTATACCTCTTCATGTAATTTTTTCAACTGAGATGCACTTATTTTCAACAATCTTTTTGCCTCCCTATCAAAAAGAGTAAATCCAATAGTGCCGGTATGATCTTGCACGTTGATTGGAATTATATACCTAATAAAAAATATATTATATTAGTATTAATTTTGTTGACATAGTGAAAATATTAAATATATTAATATAAGTGGATATATGTTTACTTTAAAACAACATGAAAATTCTCGTCATTGCAAACTGGATCTAAACACTGAATTTCAACAGTTTCTGAGATATTGTCGGGGGTAGTATAAGACAGATTTGGTTTGGGAACTTTGTTTATCTTTTTCCCACATTTGTAGCATGCTTCATAACACCAATGTAGATTCTGTCTTATATTGACAATCTTACCAACTAATACAAATTTCATTAGCTGTATAAAATAAAATGTAAAATTAACAAAAAAACACAAAAAATGTATATAAAATCAAAGGACCTAAAATAAAGAAACATACTTTGAGTGGTTCTGTGATCTCCAAAATGGTTTTTAAAGGGAAATCCCCTTTAAAATCATCTATGTATGAAGAAGCGTAACTTGGCAGCGTAGTTATGCTTTTTTCCGGCGTACCTCCATTAACATTAACTTTCAATCTGGATTGTTTTAAGTTATACTATTAATTACAATAGACTGAATAGTTATAATTTTAAACACAACATATAATTTTTTAAACAGTTTAAATATATTAAAATAGACTAACTCTTTTTTGAAGTCATTAATCTCATCTATTTCAGAATTAATGAACATTTTTGTTACATCATAATGACTTTTTGCCTGACCTATTCCTGTAAAAAAAAATTATTAAATAAAAGTAGATTGATGAAAAATATGTAAATATATATAGTTTGAATACAAACCATCCCAAATGTTCAGTTTAACAAACTGCATCACTATAACAACACAAGTAACCGTGAGGTTACTTTTCAAGTACTATGACAATTGGTGTGCTTGACTTCCAAATATAGTGACCTGCAAGTGTACAGACCTAATTTTTTTTTTTTTTTAATTTAATTAGTATTTTTAATTGATTCTTATATTAGTAAAAATAAAAATAAAATAAAGATAATAATTTTTTATTTGCATAATCTCACTCTAAATTAGTTAGTGTAATCTTCATGTAATGCCTTTGTGTGTTAGGATCGGATGCTTCAAGGGGACGAAATGACACAATTTGTCCAATAACATCTACACAATTTAATAAAATAGAAGTAGATATTATTTAGTTAAAACTGAATGGAATAAAATTGATAATAACATTGATAAGAAAATACATAAATTATAAAACTGAATGGAATAAAATTAAACAACTTACCAAAAAATGATTGTCTTGGGCAAGTTTGTTCCACGATAGAATTAAATTCAACAAACAGAAAACCATTAATTGGACCTGAAAAATCGTCACATCTTTTTATAATAGTTCTCCAATCGAAAGTAATGGTTTGTCTTTGACCGGTAACACTGAACCCATTCTTCACAGCAGCCATACTGGGTTTTAAAATGATGTAACTTTGATCTTCCTTTAACAGATGACCAAATCTGGAAAATTTTTGGTTAAATACACGAGACTGGTATTTTGTTTCCTGTTCACCAAAATAATAAATAAAATTTCATATTGATTGAAACATGTAAGAATTAGTAGTTTTATAAAAATTAAACAAACCTCTTCGTCCATGACGATCATTTCAATGGATAAAACGATATTATTCCTTATAAAATTCCATATCTTTAAAACCCGTAGTTTGAGATGTGAATCATCAGCCAAGCTTTCAATGTCTTTTAGGTATACTTTGTTACCAATATTCATTTCCTACAAAGAATTGATAGCATAAGAAGAAAAAAAAAGAAAATAGCAACATATTAAAAAAATAAAACACTGTTTGTAGTACATTGTTCATTGTATATTCAATACCAATCGACAAGTTGACATTTTGATCATTTATATGTCATGTTTTGAATGACTTAATGCATTGACTAATGCTACATTGGGTTTTTGTTTTTAATTTTGTATGAAACATGTCGAACCCTTTCCCTTTTAAACATGATAAGTCTGGTTTCTAAGAAACATTTGAATATGCAGCAAACCATTTATTGCACCTGAAAAATCAACTATTTATTCATATATGATTTTATATACATACGGTAACAGATACATACAAAGTTTGATATTAAATTAAATTAATTAAAAAGAGCAGTGAAGATATTACGAATGAAACATATACATTTGAAAAAACGATTGATGTTTAGTGAACTGAATAGTTATATACCGTAACAGTTACATACTTTGGTTCATATTACGATTATGAAGCCTTCAAACTGATTAAAAAAAACAGATATATACACAAAGAAAGTGATAAAAACAACAGTAGAAGGAATAATCAGATGAATGAAAGAGTTACCTTAAAAAAAAACCACGGTTGAATGAAAGAGTTACGAATGAAACATATACATTTAAAAAAACGATTGAAGTTTACTGAACTGAATACTTATATACCGTAACAGTTTCATACTTTGGTTCATATTACGATTATGAAGCCTTCAAACTGATTAAAAAAAAACAGATATATACACAAAGAAAGTGATAAAAAAAACAGTAGAAGGAATGATCAGATGAATGAAAGTGTTACCTTAAAGAAAAACAGAACACGATTTTAGATGGTCTACTGTAATTGATATATGTCTTCCTGTGGAAATTGTAATCGCTGTGAATGAAGAAACTGTAATTATGGTATTTTAGCAATTTTTTATTAATTACCTTCCTTTTTTTGTTTGAAATGCAGCAAAATTGACGTGGTGAATGAAGGGTAGAACCGGAAATTCACTTAGTGAAAAAAGTGGGAAAATTCGAAGGGGCGAAGGCTATATGAGTGACACGTGTCTAAGTTGTACTTATTTATTATAATAGGAGATTTAGAAATATGTCATCATACACAATAGGAACTCTATTTCGGTTATTGTATATTGAATTGGTTGGACTTTAATCTTATTGAAAATATTAAAAAAAAAATCCAAAGATTTCATCGTATCATGGTATTTAGCGTTGGATACCTCGAAATTCAGTGACCAATGAAGCCGTGCTTCTTCCAATCAAGTTTACCACAAAATTTAATTTTACCACAAATTTTGAAACCCATCAAATGGCCACAAGCCCATAAAATTATCACTAATTTGCAACAAATTTAGCAACAGCCTAGCGACCAATGAAATGATTTAGGACCAGTGTGTGGTATAGGTTATTAACCATGACACTAACTGCTACTTAAAGAAAAGTTTTTTTTAACATTACTGAAAATTCTGATTGGATTATCAAATTCAGATTTTGGAATATCAAGCTAGACAATAAACATAAATCTATTAAACCCAACCTTGTTGGAAGCGGTACGAGCACATAAATGATATAGTGGAAGCTTTATGGACAAGCGAGAGAAAGGTAAGTAAGAACAAAAGAGATCCAACTTAAAACGAACATAACTTTTGAATCGTAAAAAAATTAGAGGTGTGCGATATATCGACAGAAAGGTACCAACATGCCGGAGCACCTCATATATCTGTTTTCCTTGTTTTTTGAAATTTCATCTCTTATTTAGAAAGGTATTTATTAGAATTTAATGTTGATTCCAATTTTCTAAATTTGGCCGTAAACTACAAGAATAATAGCATTTAGCGGAGACAAACAACTTTCGTGTTATTTTTCGCCGTTGAGGTGTGTGTTGCTGCTAAGGCTTGTCGACATCGATCCGTGTCAAATGTTGAGGTGAAATCATAGCCATTGGTTTAGTTCCTAATCCAACGACTAGAAATCCATATCTCTCGTCTCATAATTTCCTTGTCCAATTGCTAGGTTTGAGGGCAATCTAAAAGGACTCTGCTGCTATCAATTCAAGTACATATCAATTATAGTTATGGACTTAAACACCTAATCCAATAGTCTTCCACTTGGATAAGTATGTAACTATAATTGCTAGTAAGACTTCTAAATTTGACCAACAAATTATAGCTTCCAAAAGCCGCTGCCGAACTCTGACCCATTCAGTTATGTGTCCTAAGATAAGTGATCATATAATCATTCGTTCTGCAAGATATCCCTAGACATAAGATATGGAATGTAATCAATCTCTTTGTCCAGAATCTATGTTTCCCGATTTTTGATTTGTGATGATATAGAACTTCTAATTGAACACATCAATTTAGTCTTGGCTGGGCCCAACACATAAGTCAACACCAAATCATTGAGGGGCCCACAAATATTTCTTTTCCCGTTAGGGAAAAAGTAACGAATAAACTTTGACTCATATGCTTTCATCTTTTACTCATCAAACCATGCATGACAATGCGTTTTATAATACCAAGTTACTGATGCGTTTTCATATCACCAATGCATGACCGACTTGTAAATTACAACTCATATTTCTCTGTTTCAAGATTATAAAATATTATCGTCTTAGTATTACTCGTGATGAATTCCATGAAGTAATACTTTGAGCGAGGGTTTGTACAATACTCAAATCTCTATTTCTAAGTACTCATGAACATTGCAACAATTCTATTGCTATGTCTAACTCCCTTAGACAATCTGCAATCCAATTCATGACAGTCTTAATTCACTACTTACTTCCAAAAGTACGAGCGACTGTGGAGTTCGAATAATCATATTATTTGGGAAGTTAAACATGCAAAATATGAAACACAATAATAAACAATTGACAAAAGGTAGTAAATAAACTCATAAATAATACTTTATTATTTAATCACCAAAAATCAATTACATTGACTTTGTTACAAGTTTCAGAAAACTAATCTAACTACTAAAACTAATATCATCCCTCGGTCCAATGCTTCGAGCATGCTAAATATGCTTAACCCTACTCATACCCTTTGTGAGGGGGTTTGTTGGGCTGTCCTCAGATGATACCCTCTTTACAACAAGTTGGCCTTCTTCTACTCCATGTCTTATGAAATGGTACTTTTTGTCGATATTTCTGGTTTTACCATGATCTCTGGGTTCCTTTGTTAAAGCAACCACTCCTTCATTATCGCAGAATAGTTCCATAGGCTCCTAGATGGTCGGAAAAACTCCGAGATCTCTGATAAAGTTCCTTAACCAATATGTTTCTTTCGATGCTTCACTCACTGCTATATACTCTGATTCACAAGTAGAATAAGCAATCATATCTTGCTTGGAACTTTTCCAAGTAACTGCTCCTCCATTTAGTAGAATTACCCAACCAGATTGAGAATGAAAGTTATCTTTATCCATTTGAAAGCTAGCATCATTGTAACCATCTACTCTCAAAGTATCTTTGCCACCAAGCACAAGGACCCAGTCTTTTATCCTTTGCAAATACTTAAGTATATTCTTAACCACTATCCAATGAGCTCTACCTGTATTTCCCTGATAATGACTGACCATGCTCGGAGAAAATGCTACATTAGAGCGAGTACATTTCATAGCGTACATGATCGATCCGACAGCGGAAACATATGGTACACGACTCATGTCAGATATTTCCTCATCTGTACTCGGGCATTGAGTTTACTCAATTTGGTATTGCTTTGGATAGGTAGCTCTCCCTTGTTGGAATTTTCCATACTAAACCTCTTTAGTACCTTCTCCAAGTATGTGCTCTGACTAAGTCCAGTTAGTGTCTTTTTTCTATCTCTCAATATTCTAATCCTAAGAATATAGGCAGCTTCTCCAAGGTCTTTCATGGAAAAACACTTTCCAAGCCAATACTTAACATCTTTCAGGGTTGGAGTTTCGTTACCAGTGAGTAATATGTCATCAACATACACCACCAGAAAAGTCACTATACTCCCACTAGCCTTGATATATACACAAAACTCATCTTCATTCCTAGAGAAACCAAACTCTTTGACTTTCACATGGAATCAAAGATTCTAGCTGCCAGATGTTTATTTCAATCCATAAATGGATTTCTCAACCTTGCACGCTCTATTGGGAAACTTTGCATCAACAAAATCCTCTGGCTAATTCAGGTAAACATCCTCAACTAACTTCCGGTTAAGGAAAGCAGCCTTGACCTCCATCTTCCAGATTTCATAGTCATGAAAGGCATCTATAGAGAGCAATATCCTAATAGATTTAATTTTAGCTACTGGCGAGAAGGTCTCATCACAGTCAACCCCTGGGGTTTGAGTGAAACCTTTTGCAACTAGTCTAGCCTTGAATGTGTGCACATTTCCATCAATGTATGTCTTCTTCTTGAAGATCCATTTGCACCCAACTGTCCTATGACCTGGTGCACTATCAGCCAAATTCCAAACTTGGTTGTCATACATGGACTTTATCTCACTGTCCATTGCCTCTTTCCATTTGGAAGCCTCTGGGCTTGCCATTGCTTCCTTGTAAGTAACTGGTTCTTCTAAATTCATCATTGTCCTATCACTAGTGAATGTGTCACCATCTGAAGTAATATGAAAACCATATAACTCAGGTGGCACACTCACCCTAGTGGATCTTCGAAGAGGTAATGAGTTATCAACTGGTTCAACAAGAATTGTTTCCTATGGTTGAATGCTAGTGTCGTCTAAGGTTCCTTCATTGGCTAACTCTTGAATTTCTACAAGGTCAATGGGACTCCCAGTGTCCTCTTTGAATATGAGCTCTCCTTCTAGAAAGACTCCTCTTCGTGCCAGAAAGACCATGTTTTCACTAGGTCTATAGAACAAATATCTAAAAGACTAATTTGGCCAACCAATGAAAACACATTTCTCACTTCTGTTGCTAGTTTTTCGTGAGTCTCTCATCTTACGAAAACTTCAAAACCCTAGAGTTTAATATGTACT